GTCATCTCGGTCAGGATTACCATCAGACTGGTACCAGGGAACTTGGGGTCAAGAATGAGGTCGTGAAGAAGGCCTTGACCTTTCTCCTGAGCCTGAGGTGAACACATAGCACTCTGCCAGAGATTCACAAGGGAGCCACCTGTTTCCAAATAAATACATGCATACACAAAATTTAAAAAATCTAAATAACCTGGACTGAGACTGTTACTCTACAAATCTGCAATGATTTTAATTTGCAATAGTTGTGCTCTACTACAAGCAAACCAAGAAGGTCTTTGTGCAACATAGTGAAATCATGTGAAATTATTTCCCACCAAAATTGTACATTGCACGATCTACTCTGATCACTGTTCACTTTTTTATTCTTCCATCAATGTACTGAGCCACAAATGCATGTAGCATGGTACAAAAGTCTAAGAATTTAAACATTTAAATCAACATCTTTGTAGAGACGGTCAGATTTTATTATTCCTGTGAAGCTCTTTGGAACATCTAAAACCATGCTGGAGAACATTTCTCCAGTCCTGCTGTCATTAATGGGATACTGTATACTGTATGTCATTCCATGTTCATTGTATGAACAAAAACACAGAATGAAAAGGTGAGTGAACAATGACAGGGGTTTTGGGTCCCATTAAAGCACTAAAGCAGTTTCACTAGTGGTCTCAGACTTCTGGACCCATAAGTGTATACATTTTCTCCCTCCCACTATTTCCTCTGATATTCTTACCAAGCAGTTGATTGACACTGTTCATCCAGCCGAAGATGTGGAGTGCGTGGTTCTCCTCAGCGCTAAGATTGGCAATGTTGGGTGGTCTATCAGACTCCTGCAGCACTCGGCTTGGCAGAGGAGCCATGAACTTCTCGGACCTCTCGATGCTGGCGTGGAAATGAGCAGCTGCTACATATGCTTCCGAGTTGAGCCAGCCCTGTCCAAAGCGCACCTCATGAGAGGAGTACAGCTTCTGCCTGCAGCACACCGTTTGATTACAACATAAGGCACCTGTCAAACCGAAGCTTGAGGAATTATCCACACATATCTGGTTAAAGGAAATGTCATTGAGCAACAGTTTGAATGCTTTATTAAGTGTATATTCTGTATGGACCTTTCACTGCAGGCCGAGGAGGCGGTTTGTAGAGACACCTCTTCTGCTGCCCACAGCAGTCCCAGGATCTTGTACTTCTTGCTTAAATCTGTGTCGTCAGAGTTACTGATGTGCTGCAAAGACTACAGAGGAACACAGAAAAGAGCAATGGTGAGCAAACAGTCCCTTTGCTTAATTCATAATATGTGACCCTGGAGCACAAAACCAGTCATAAGGGTAAATTTTGTGAAATTGAGATTTATACATCTCTGAAGGCTGAATAAATATGCTTTCCATTGATGTATGGTTTGTTAGGATCGGACAATATTTGGCTGAGATACAACTATTTAAAAATCTGGAATCTAAGGGTGCAAAAAAATCTAAATATTGAGAAAATCATCTTTAAAGTTGTTCAAATGAAGTTCTTAGCCATGCATATTACTAATCAAACATTAAGTTTTAAAATATTTATGGTAGGAAATTTACAAAATATCTTCATGGAACATGATCTTTACTTAATATCCTAATGATTTTTGACATAAAAGAAAAATCGATAATTTTGACCCATGCAATGCTTTTTTTGGCTATTGTTACAAATATACCCCAGCGACTTAAAGGGATAATTCACCCAAAAATTAAAATTATGTCATTAATTACTCACCCTCATGTCGTTTCAAACCCGTAAGACCCTCGTTCCTCTTCAGAACACAAATTAAGATGTCACATGGATTATTTTGCAGATCTCCTTGCTACGTTTCTGGACTACATCATTTCAGTTACGTTGCTGTCTATGGGAGCTCTCAGATTCCATCAAAAATATCTTAATTTGTGTTCTTAAGATGAACGAAGGTCTTACGGGTTTGAAACGACATGAGGGTGAGTAATTAATGACAGAATTTTCATTTTTGGGTGAACTATCCCTTTAAGACTGCTTTTGTGCGCCAGGGTCACAAATGTGCTTGAACTAGTTTGAAAAACCTTTTGCACAAAGAAGTAAACATGGTCAGTATCACAAATTTGCTGACATCCCGTTAAAGACCTAGATATTAGAGAGACTAGTGAATCTAGTATTCTTCATTTTATGTCATAAATATATTGATTTGTCATTGAACTGCGATATGGTCAGAGACCTTTGGAGCCCAGACACTGTGACTGATTTCCATTTCTTTAAAGTTTTTTGGAGTTCACATGTCCACATAGTCTTGTGGTGTCTGTGTACAAATATTCCACATGTGCATGCACGATAATTGCTCTTGCTGCTTGACACTGTATTGTATTTAGTCTGTAGTGTTTGTTACAGAAGCTGTCTTCTTGAGTAAGCTCTTGTCACTTTGAAAAAAAAGCATCTGCTTAATGAACAAATATAGGGTGAATTCAGTTAATTAGGACATGTTTTCCCAGTCATCTCAATGGAAAAAAGTGTCCCATTTGACCTGAATTCAACCTAAATGTGCATCTATCGACAGTAACTTGAAAAATGTTTCCCACTTAGTCATGGCATCAGGATATTTGGTGGAACAGTGTGTGAAGCTGGAGCAGTAATCTGGAGCCACCTCTGCTGGAGCCTGGACGTGCAGCTGAATCTCACCCTTCCCAACTACAGCTGTCTGAACTGCTGCCAGGAAGGGAAGCACAGA